GGTGATCATTAAGAGGAGGCACATTCCAAAATTTGATTGCAACGTCAACTCTTTCCACATCATTCCTCAGGTTCTCGGTATTTGACGTCATCACAACATGGTAAGTAAGTGCCTGCAATTAGATACACGATTTCCTGTCATTCAGCGGCACTTCGATCATTTGAACATGATTGTCGTTGACATTTTTTGATAAATCTCTTCACTTAGTCATCGCATACTCAATGAACACATTCTACCTTGAATTCCGAACGCCCGAGCAAAACCAACATATCAAATGATGTCACTGATCAATACACGTCTATAATCGAGCAGAACAATCTTTCGGTTGCTTATGAACAATTTCTTATGAACAACCTATGAGCAAAAAAAGGCAAAAAGATTCTGAAAACCTACCAATTGATCAACAGAACAACGTTGTGAATATCGCAATATTAACACAAAAAATGTGCTGATCAAATGATAACGATATGATTACATCACTGCATCTGATAAATTGCTAATCAATCATAAAAAATGGCTAAATGTCATTTTAAAACTTATGAATTGATTATCAGAACGTCTTAGGCTCTTGCTCATTCAACATTATCAAACGTTACCCCTACTGATATAGAAGCGCATAATAACACAAGCTGCTAGTTGAAATGGCATTGTGCTAATAGTGCAACGTTCGTGTTACAGTCCTGCTATTGCACTGAAAAGTCCTTACCGACCTCAAACTTTTTCAGTTTGACCATCACAAGTTCCATTCTTCTTCTAAAGGAGACCTAAGAGGCAAATAACCATAAGACCAGTCTCACTTGACAAGTTCTCCTGAAATTCACTATTATTGACCAAATCCAAATAAATCTCAGTCAATCATCTCAACATTTTCCCAAAATTCTGGACATTACGTAAGTAATTCTCGAAAATTCGACCCTGAAAAATCATGAGTGATCAGCGCTGCGATATCGCGTCCTCTGGTGACGCTATAGAAACTCTGAAACTGAATCGAAAAGTACCGCTGACAGCAGGGGCAGTCATCTCCCTCTCAATTCTTTGCATCGCTTTAATGTTGCCTGGAGCTGAACTGGCAATCCCGAGCCAAAAAGAAAAATCGCATTCGATGATGTTATCACTGAAAACGAATCAATCCCGCCCATCAGCTCAACAAGGTATATCTCATATTCTTGAACGTCAGAATCACGAATCTATGACCAAAACCAACACTAAAAGATCGTGATGGCCTTGACTTTAACTGCAATCTATTGCTCTAGGGGGATTTAATCAATTTAACATTTATTTGAATGAATTTAATGAACCACTTCTTAGAATTTGATGAATCATTTTGATTATTTCGATATGCCGTTGGTTCTGATCTCATTAACTTATTAGAACGTATTAAATCCATCTTACAAACATCACTGATAAAGAGCATCGTTTATAATTATCGCTCACATTGAACTGCTTTCAGATCCACCTTGCTCGGGTTATTTTGTATTCGTTGTGGATAATTCTATTAATACTGCTTACAATTATGATAAGGTTGGTTTGGGCAAACACACTTTAGCTCTTAAATCACTTCATTTCTCTAATGCAAATTCTATGAACTCAGCTATGCTTATACACATCCTTACCAATGATAATGAGTGTTTTCATTATTATCTCCGTTATCACTGCTGCCATCCTTATCTTTTGTTATCAGCAAAATGTAGTGAACAGCCACAATTACAGATCGTGCAATCACTAGCATATATAACAGATAATTGGAAATTAGATGAAAAATTGCAACTCACAGCCGCATCTGCCGCCGATGGTTCCATCGATGCGAATGATTTCGCGAAGAATATCACAGATTGGACCCACATGTTGGATGGTTTGAGCGAGATGCTGGGGACTTTCGATCCTCCATTGACACCAATTCAGTAGGTTTCATTATTGATAAGAATTCAGGTTTTATGTGAATTTTAATGGGAAATTATCAGTTAATCCACATGTTTGATGCTTTCCAAAGACACATTAGCACATACACATTATTACGAACAATGCGATAATCGTTCATTTGAATCGTAGACTTGCCAGTAATATTTCATCTGAATATTGCAACAGTGATAGTGAATTCAAGATCGCACAAGGGGGAAGTGTCAAATTCCTCATCTTCACATCATTCAGGTGAATTTCGGTGGCTGTTTTATTCAATTTTGTTCTTTTATTTAGCTATGCCAGTATCGCTCGCTTCTAATTGTTAGCGCTGAAGGCGTAGGAAAGTGAATTGTTAAGGTGGAATTTTAATATACTTTAATCTGTGAATTGATGAGAATTTAATCATTTGAAGACATTGACTTCATGCAGTTTGTGAAGTCAGCAGTTTGAATGTTGGGTTTTCAACTGGCATTAGTCGACGGTATTCCAATCAGAACATTGATGAGATTTGTTATGATATGCTGAATGAAAGATATCTTATTTTATAGGGATGAAACTGAAATTAATAAGGCATTGAATGAGCAGAATCCGTGGCTGAAGTGCCCGCTGGCCGGAAACGAATCCG